TCTTCTTCTTCTTCTTCTTCTTCTTCTTCTTCTTCTTCTTCTTCTTCCTCTTCATCTTCCTCTTCCCCCAAAACGAAATACACCTACGAATGAGCCAATTACGATTTTACTCAGTGAAAAAGACACACAATAGGAAAGGTAGCGAATTCAACAATTCTGCGAATTCAACAATTCTGCGATTTGTCTTTGTTGTTTGTTGTTGTTGCAACAGTTGCTTGTTTTGTCCTCATTTTCTTCCAGGCTTGAAGAGGGAGTTGGTAGTTAAAAGGGTCAAGCTAGGAATCGCCTTGGGCACGAAGCCAACTGGGTGACCCTGGACCCTGAACCCAGAAGGATATTTCTTCCAACAGTCATGCTGGCCAGATGACCAGAGAAATTGCCTTCAGACAATTTTGTCTCCCTTGGCTAAGAAACGGAGATGGGCACTGCCCTCTAGAGTCAGACACGGCTGGACAGGATAAACTTTTACCTAGTTAACCTTGTCATGCCAACTAAAGGAATCATGCAATTAAAAACGAAGTAGGTATTTTGAGCCAAATGGCTTTAGAATTGATTTCCCAGGAAGACAAAAATTTTTGCATTAATTGTTGAGGAAGCCAAGGAATTGTCTGTGCAGGAATATCAGTTGTTCTCCATTGTTGCTACAGTGGGAATATGTTTCACCAATTTGTCCCCCCAGTTACTGTTTAATTTATGAGTTTTATAAAGGACATCTTAGCGCCTATTGTGGCACCAATACAAAAACCTGCGTAGCGCAAACCAGGGATGCAATGAGTGCAACCCTAAGTGGCACAGTACTGCAAGCAAAGTGGCGAGAGAAACTCTGCTTATTGTTACCACCAAGGCTTGAATGTGATAAGTTGATACCCTGTTTCTCCAACAATACGGCCTCCCCCAATAGGAAGTCCCAGCATGTTTTATAGGCATGAAATGAAATTAAGCCCCTCCCCCCAAATTAAGGCCTATATTAAAACATACGAAATGGGGGGGAATGGTGGGGGGGCTTGCCGTTAGGAAGTACTTTTGTTGCACACCTGGATATGGTGCTGCCTGCGTTGACCCCAATACAAAGTGCCCTACCAACGCCGAGGTCAACATCCAAGCCGTTGCTGCCCACCCGCCCAAAGATGCAAGGGGGGGGGGAATTAAGTCACCACCGAAAAGACAGCCTAGCCATTTTTTCGGGGCTAAAAAAAAAAAAAAAGATCCAGCCTTATTATATGAGAAACACGGTAGTTGTAAAAACTTAGATCTCTTTAACAAGTCTATGTGTTTTCGTCAAGTTCCTTTGTGTATTTATGTTTCACTGAATTGTAAGAAGAAAATGGGAACACAAATTATTGAAAAATTGTGTCAGACACCCATTGGGTATGTCAGACAGCATTATGTTGAGTTGTTGAAATCAACACCTTGAGTAGTTTTACCATCCCTGAATATAATCGGCGAACTCTTGAGGCTCTGTTTTGTTTTAGGGAAGTGCTTCTTGAATTTAAAATAGTATCAGATCATGGTGTGGCTCAAGTTTGTTTTCTTATGAACTCTTTGACAAATTGGAAGATCTGAGGGACCATGAGAAGAATTTTAACAGAATTATGACTGATAACAAGGCTACTGAAGAAGAACTTTCCAGCAACCTGCACAGAAATGAGAATTTGCTGTATATTCCCCAATTTTCCAAGCTATGCTACGACTGAGCTCAATTTTTGGAAATGTTTTCCAAAAAACATTTTAAAGTCAAAGTTCTATTTGTGATTCAGTAAACACTAAGCACTCAACATTCAGTAAACTTAAATGATGATTTGCAGACAAAGCCCACACCAAATGAAAATGTATTTTTAGACTTTGAATTAGTTCTTGATCATGGCAATGTAAAGATTGGCCAGATGAATTCTATTTACCGTATTTGCTGGCGTATAAGACGACTTTTTTGCCCTGAAAAACATGCCTCCAATTGGGGGGGTCATCTTATATGAATCTCGTGAATAAAATACCTGAATTTCTCATCCTACTAAATATGGCTAACTTCGACATTATATTTGTCTGTGAAACATGGCTCAATGCATCTCTCCCCGACTCCATTACCACAGTAAGAGACTATCATGTTTACCGATCAGATCGTGAAAATCGTCGAGGAGGTGGTGTTGCTATCTTCTATAAAAAATCCTTACATCTAAAAAATATCCAAGTTACCCAGGAGCTTGCTCTTCCTGAGACCATCATCTGTGAACTATCCTTAAATATCACAATTCGATTCTTACTATGTTACAGAGCACCTGATTATGACATCGAACATGTAAACAATCTAAATACATTACTAACATGGGCTGCATCCTGCCCATACCCTTTTATCTTTCTTGGTGATTTCAATCTACCTCATATTGACTGGACCCTAAATGATTGTACAACTGAAATCATACACACAACCTTCTACAATGCTATTACAAATCTGGGACTGGAACAACTAGTAACCAACAACACTAGACTAAACAACTGCCTCGATCTCATCTTCTGCAATAGTTTGAATTTAATTTACGGATTACAAACTAAAGAACCCTTTTCCAGCAGTGACCACAATATGATTGACTTTTGTCTCAACATACGTCCACACAAAAATCACCACAATGATGTAATCCCCAATTGTAACTTCAAAAAAGGCAACTATGATCTTATAGACAACGATCTCTCATCCCTTGATTGGCAATCTCTATTCACTGGATGCAATACTGTTGAAGACCATTACAACATATTTTTACTTGAAGTCAAAAGAGTCATCAAACTATATGTACCAACAACAACTCCCAAAACAAAACAAAAAAGCAGATTACCCATAACAATAAGGAAACTTCAATCCAAAAAGAGATCACTCTGGCGGAAAAACAAATCTGGTCACGTTGCCAATTTCAAAAGCCGTTACAAAAATTTATGCCACCAGATAAAGACTGAATGCACCAATTATCACATTAAACAAGAGGAAAACCTTCTAAGCACCAATTCCACCCGTGCTTTTTACAATTTTGTAAACAACAAACTAAAAGACTCAAGGTCCATCCCTCCCTTGATAGGACCTGATGGTAAAGTCTGCAACGACGACACCATTAAAGCCAACATCTTTAACACATTCTTTGGCCTCAGTATTTGTAAACAGCAATGGATCATGCCCAGTATTTCCTAGCCGTACCACAGATAACAACAATGATCTAATACATATCGATTTCACAGAAGACAATGTTGAAAAAGCACTACGCAATCTAAAACCATCTCTATCTATTGGACCGGATGGAATATGTGCCTACTTCTTAAAAAAGCTATCCACTGCCATAGCCAAACCTCTAAGCATAATCTTTGAAAAATCTTTCAGGACCAGCTCCTTGCCTAACCTATGGTCACAAGCCACAGTCATCCCCATCTTCAAAAAGGGAGACCCAAGCCTAGTTGAAAATTACAGGCCAATCTCCTTATGCTGCGTCACCTGTAAAGTCATGGAATCAATTATTAACCAATCCATCATCCTCCACTTAGAGACAAATAACCTACTCTCCAATAAACAATTTGGTTTCAAAAAAAAACTATCCTGTAATCTGCAACTCTTACACTGCAAAAACATATGGACGACACAACTCGACCAGGGCAAAGCAATAGACGCAATCTACATAGACTTCTGTAAAGCCTTTGATTCAGTGGTACACGACAAACTACTCCTAAAAATAAAATCCTATGGTATCTCTGGACAACTGAATAACTGGATAGAAGCATTCCTGTCAAACAGACAACAAATGGTCAAAATTGGGAGCGTCCTATCAAATTCAGTACCTGTCAATAGTGGTGTCCCCCAAGGCAGTGTTCTAGGACCAACTCTCTTCATACTCTACATAAATGACCTCTGTGATCATATTAAGAGCAATTGCGTTTTCTTCGCTGATGATGTAAAGCTGTTCAATACCACAGACAATACTGCTACCCTACAAAAAGATCTTGACTATGTATCAGAATGGTCAAACAAATGGCAACTTCAAATCTCAACAAATAAATGCTCTGTCTTACATATTGGCAAAAAAAATCAGAAAATAAAATACAAGCTGAATAGTCAAGATCTTGTTGATGACCCAAGCTCTGTAAAGGACCTTGGAATACTCACCTCTAATGATCTAAGTGCTAGAGCCCACTGCAACTACATAGCCAAAAAGGCATTAAGAGTTGTTAACCTAATTCTACGTAGCTTTTTCTCTGGTAATATCACACTACTAACCAGAGCATACAAAACATTTGCTAGACCAATACTCGAATACAGTTCATCAGTCTGGAACCCACATTACGTATCTGATATTAGCACAATTGAGAAAGTCCAGAAATATTTCACAAGAAGAGTTCTCCACTCCTCTACTCGTTGTAGAATACCTTATGCCACCAGACTTGAAATTCTAGAACTAGAAAACCTTGAATTACGCCGTCTTCGGTCTGATTTAAGCATGGTATATAAAATCATACATTGCAATGTCCTACCTGTCAATGAATACTTCAGCTTCAACCATAACAACACAAGAGCACACAATAGATACAAACTCAA